ACTAAAAAGAACTAATTTCTGAATATTTCTAATGCAGCTACACCGCTAATTCTTATTAAAGTACTTAAAAAAACCGATAAAACCATCCTCATGCTGAAAATGAACTGCTTTCTTACCTGTCAATCTGTTGAATCTGTGTTTCCCAAACCAAAATTCCACTATCTCGATTCCATGCTCGCACTACTTCGCTATCTTTTGTTATTGTTATTATTACTGAAAACTCTTACCGAATTAATAAAAAATGCAGTTAAAAATATCAATACAGAAATAGAACGAAATTAAATATTTAACAAGCTAAGAATCGAAAAGGAAAAATTATAGCGGATAAGGAGGATACATTTGGTTGTTGATGAGAACGATAATCGAAGTGCAGATGAATGTTCCAGTTGTTGCCTCCAGGCTGTAACGATCCAAAAATTAGTTTGATATGAAAAACTTACTCATTCTACATGTATCTATACTATATATCTCTTTGCTTATATTATCATATAGCCCATCAATAGATTCATTCTCTCATTATCAACAATTCACAACAATGTGCAATAAATGTTTTCAGAAATTGTAAAAACTTGGGAATTTCATTGTAAAAACTTGGAAAAAGCTAAAAAAAAGTAGGAATGCATAAATGAAAAAGCTAAATTTTCACATCCTTATTATCTGTAACATTAATAAATAATATTATGAAACAGTACCTATCTGTCCAGTAGATGCTTTCAATGATGCGATTATATCAATTTCCGTTGAAACGAAGATATGTGGTAATTTTGTACTCTTCAATCGTTCCATATGCAGCTCTTGCGCACAACCCACATACTCACGATGCCTAAATTACATCGATTTCAGAAATTCGCGGAAGGTGAAAAATGAACCCTTAAGAAAATCAATTATTTATGAATCTAACCAGTCAAATTTGCCAATCTGATCTTTGTATATTGCAGAAACTGTTACAAACATTGCTGCAAACCATAGTGGAAAGGCCATTATCTGAAATGAACTCTTCATTATGTCAAACTTAATTAAATAATTATATACGGAAATTTCGGTGATTTTTTACCGAGTGCATCAGACAATATTCATTTTTTCAGTTTCACGTGAAAAACAAAAAAAATGTTCTATATTGATTCATGTATTTGTGTAAATATATGCCAAATATCTGTCAGGAACTTTCTCCATCACAAATGACAATCACAGACCTCACAGTTACAAACAGTATTACGCAAACAATAAAAAAAAGAAGGATGTCAATTTTCATGGTGAGTGGAAAACAGTTATGCGATTTTGTTATGGGCATGAACCAATAGAAGACGAAGTGTTGGTGATGATGTTATGCCCGCGATTTCCTGGAATTTCGGTGGATAGGTTTTCAAACTGAAAGGGAAATTTAAACTAAGATAATCAATACTGTCGTATAACCATTTCACAGAATATATTTTTTTATATTTCACATTGGAGCGATTTTCTTTTTTCGTTTTTTAACAAATTTGTTTGTTGGATAATGTGATGGAACATGCATAATTCAGTAGCGAACTATACAGGAAATCTTGAATGAATAAATTGAGCTGTCATTCTTTTTTAGTGTTTTTGAACATGACGTATTCAGTTTGGAAGGAAGCTTCATTAGCACCTAACGTATAGTGAATTTATGTACAATTCATCCTTCAACCACAAATTCATACTAACTACCCTAAGTTAGTAATATCCATCACAAAACTGTGCTTTGAGGAGCTGTGTTACTAACTCATTAATTGGTGATATGATTATTTTCATCATGGGGTAATCGTAGTGACGTAGGATGATATTGAAGTTTTGTAGACCAAATGGTTCCGGAAACGTTAGGAATTTATTAGGGCATCATGGAGATGACGTGGGTAGGATGGTTTTTGAAGGCATGGAATGATGTTTGTAATTAATTTGTGTGATATTGCAGAATCGAAGAAATAAAGATGTCGTTGATAATACCGGAGAAGTTTCAACATATCCATCGTGTTATGAATACGAACATTGATGGTAACAGAAAAGTACCATTCGCACTCACTGCTATTAAGGTACACTCTTTTATATACACTGTAATAAACTTATTTGTTGATATTTATTTTTGGTTATTTTTTTTTATTTGTGTTATTTATTGTCGATATTTATTTTTGATCAGATGATATGTATTGAGAGTCTTATTGAACAATTTTTGCTTTTTTGCTATGGCAAAAAGTGCAATAACTTCAGGGTGTTGGTCGACGTTTTGCGTTTGTTGTTTGCCGAAAAGCTGATATTGATATTAATCGACGTGCTGGTGAATTGTCGGAAGAAGATTTAGAGAAATTGCAACAAGTGATGCAAAATCCTAGCCAATATAAAATTCCGAATTGGTTTTTGAATAGGCAAAAGGATGTCAAGGATGGGAAGTATTCTCAGGTTATTGGTTTTCAGTTTTAAAATTGCAGGTTTTGCTGTGTCATATATTAAACCAGTTGAGATTTCTGATCAAATTTCATGCATGCACTTGTTATAGCTACTCCAGTTTTCAGATGCTTTCTACATCGCTTGATAATAAGCTTCGTGAAGATTTGGAAAGACTGAAGAAAATCCGTCTGCATAGAGGTATGAATATATTGATTCAAATCAGCTGAATATTGAGTAATGACAGGCGAGAGAAAGGAAAAAGTTATTTTCTTTAATGTGAAGAATGCTGTAGTCAATTTAATCCACTGTTAGATAACTTGTATAAAATTAGGATGCTTCAGCAAACAGATTTTGGTTTGACTGTTGGTCATATGAATATATATCCCCTAATAAGATTTTTATATTGACTGTCAACAATTTTATGGATTTTGCGAGCGATTTCTTTTACTTGAAGTGTTTTAAACTTGTTTCATTGTCGTAGTGTTTTAAGGACTTCGACATTATTGGGGACTTCGTGTGCGCGGTCAACACACTAAGACAACAGGTAGAAAAGGTCGCACTGTTGGTGTATCAAAGAAGAAAGGCGGTTAATAAAACCGTGAATTCTTTTATCCTGTTTTCATTCAGTAAAGAATTATCATCGAATTGTTCGGATTTTTTCTTTTAAATATTATTCTGTACGGAATAAAGTTTATCACAGTGATCACCGCATTATAAAACTAATTAGAGCTATAGCTCTCAACTCTTGTTTATATCCATTGCATTTGTTATTGAAAAACCGCAAAAATGGTGGATCGTATTGCATGGTGCTGTTGTCGAAATCCACATATGCATTATGGTGGCAGATTAAACACTAAAAGTGAGTGGACTTAGTTAGATTTAAAGTTCTCTTCTGCAGTTATGCAGTAATCTTACGGTTGAACTGTAGCACGAGAAAAGTGGTCGTCGTGGGGGATTTGATTTCTGTCGTGATGATTTGCGAGTTGTAAGTGTAATGGCCTTGGACGTTTCATTGCTTAACCACTATCTGGATTTAGAGTTTCCATTATTTTAGAGATTTGTCGGGTTGGTCATGGATTCCTATGATGTGATAGCAAATCAGCCAGTTGTTATCGATAATGGGTCTGGGGTAATTAAAGCTGGATTTGCTGGTGATCAGACACCAAAATGTCGTTTTGCTAATTTTGTCGGGCGACCGAAGCATACAAGAGTAATGGCTGGTGCCCTCGAGGGCGACTTGTTCATAGGTAAAGTTCTGGTGCTTTTGTCATGATAAAATATGCACTTTCCTCAATTATTAATAATTTGCTAGACAATTTGCAAAAATTTTTTTGTACTTTTTCTCTGTGCCAGCTTCCTGCTCCTTAACAATTAACACCTATGCATTGGATTTGTATAAAATTTAGTCTCGTGAAACTTATATTCATTTAGGTCCCAAAGCACAGGAGTATCGAGGATTGTTAGCGTTGAAATACCCAATGGAACATGGTATAGTGACAGATTGGAATGACATGGAACGAATATGGCAGTATATTTACAGTAAAGATCAGTTGCAGGTATTTTAGATTGTGTTTATTTTGGTCTTTCCTTGAATGTATTTTGTTTTGAATGAAACGCTGCTTTGTCGGTGGATTTGATTGGTCATATTCATAGTATCTGTATCTTTTCAGATATTTCCAGAAGAACATCCAGTATTGCTTACCGAAGCACCTTTGAATCCACTTAAAAACCGAGAAAAATCGGCTGAAATATTTTTCGAAACTTTTAATGTACCTGCATTGCATATTCAAGTTCAAGCTGTTCTTTCGCTTTATTCAACGGGTCGTACAACAGGCGTTGTTCTGGATTCAGGAGATGGTGTAACACATGTTGTGCCTATCTTTGAGGGTTTTGCTATACAACATGGGTTTGTTTTTATATATCAGTCTCTCCTTTGTTCCACATCACTTCAATTTTTTCCCATTATCTTGCACTAACTATATTCTTTCTTCATTCGTTACTGACTAAATTGCGAGTAGATTAAAACGGATTGCATCATTATGTTTTTTTAAGAAGCTTGGGCTTTACGTTGCCAGTGAAGATCCACTACGGAGGACACCATTACATTATAGTTTGAGAAGTATCTTAATTTTGAAGAAAAAACTTTGAACTGCATGTAACATGCACCTTAAAATATTAAAATGAAGCTTAATAATATTATCTTTATCATCAAACTATTGATGACATTACTGGTGATTGTTTCTTACTGCATCAATAATTGTTCTTTCTGCATCTGATATGATTATAATTAAATATAATTAATCTAGAATTGAAAGAATGGATGTGGCAGGACGAGATGTGACCAGATATCTTCGTCTATTACTTCGCAAAGAAGGAGCTAACTTTCATCGTTCATCAGAATTTGAAATCGTCCGAGAAATTAAAGAAAAAATGTGTTACATTGCGACAAATGCTACAAAAGAAGAAAGTAATGAAAGTGAGAAAGTACGTTTCACTTTACCTATCATCACATAATAGTTCATAGGAATATGGTTTCCAAGAATTGAATGAATCATTTCACAACTTCAGCGGCTTTAAATTCAGGCAGCATACAAGCTTTCCGATGGATCGACACTCGAAGTCGGACCAGCTAGATTTCGTGCTACCGAAATACTATTTCGGCCTGATATTATTGGCGAAGAATGGCCAGGAATCGCCAATGCCCTCGATTTGTCCATAAGAGTATTGTTTCAACATATCCATTAATTTTTGTTATCAAGTGCTAAGCTTATAGTTTATATGGCTGCTATGGCCTTTAATAAAGTGAAATCGCTTTCTCAAAAATACATTATATTCATGGAATGTGGAAATATGATAACTATGAATACCAATTTTTAAATTTTTGGTTAAACCACATTCTGAGCGATGGCGTCATGCTCTAAGCAAGCTTCTCATGCATATTATATTTTTGAATACAGTTCAATAATAGCACTGTAACCATGAATGAAATATAACGTTTACCGTAGAATCAGGGTTATCTTAATTTCAAGATTTTAAAGTCTAATTAATAGTAGCGTTATTTTTACTGCGGCGGAAAATTTTTACTGTGTCATTTCAACTTCATTCTTTAATTTGACCTTCTTTTAGCAGTCATGGTTCTTTAACATTTTTACAGTTCTGTTAAATGTGGTTGAAGAGATTAGATATTGCAATAGCTATAAAGAAATCCTGATTTTTTTTTCTCATAATGAAATTCCTTTTTTCAGCGTTGTGAAATAGATCTGCGCAAAAATTTATATAGCAATATTGTATTAAGTGGCGGATCGACTATGTTCACTGGATTTGGTGATCGATTGTTAGCTGAAGTAAGTTTTTCTAATTATATACTGCTTGATTCGTCCATATTTTGTTCAACAAGATAAATTTTCCAAACCTTTTTTTTTCAATTAAAAATTTTAAAAAATTTTCTCACGTCGATTATAGATGCGTCGATTGGCACCGAAAGACGTAAAAATTCGAATATCCGCACCGCAAGAGCGATTGTATAGTACCTGGATAGGTGGTTCAATCCTAGCCAGTCTTGATACATTTAAGAAAATGTGGGTTAGCAAAAAGGAATATGAAGACGAAGGCAAGAAAGTACTACACAGGAAGACATTTTAAGTGGATCTTAAAAAATGATGGAAGACTTATCAAATGGATATATATGTTCCATTGGTGTTCAGTTATTTATAAATTTATAGCAGCTGTATCGTTTTCTATTTTGTTAAGTTAAATGAGACGAAGGACATGTATAAATTATAAATCACAAATACTAAAAGTAATTGTAAACACTTAACAATAGGATTTACGAAGTTGTAAGAACTCTCATTTCCTTCGGAAATGCCTGCTTTTTTGTTTTTATTATCCTTTTCAAAATCGTGTAGAGTGATTCTCTCATTTAAATTCTAATTACAAAATACAAAATTCTTTGATGCATTCTTTCCTTGATGCTACAGATCTCTTATTTTCTTTCAGTAAAAAAATACAGTAAATACAATTCCTTTCACAAACTTCATATAAAAAAATGTTTGTCTGAAAGTATTTATATCAAATAATGATCTGCTATTCTGCGTCATCTCTGAAAAAACAGTATTTATGACTCCTTCTATAATTTGTCGATAAGATTTGATCAGTCCTTGATAAGAAAAAATGGCCAGCTCATAGATAGAATCTTCTCTAAAACCTGCGCTATTACAAGAATAATATCAAAAAGGACCGATATCTATTCATTTCAAATTATGAAATTGTATGGTTAGAAGCAATCCGTTGTTTCATATTTTTATCCAGTTCATATATGTTTATTTTCGACTGTGATTGTTTGACTCTGTTCCTTTAGATGTCTGGAAAAGCTAGGAGGTCGATCGAATGTTGATCGATTAAAGTTTTTCTTAACAACTGAGTTGTGTGATCCTAGAATTGAAATAATTCGCTTCAATGTATTGCTTAAAATTTTGTATTTAATATCTGCCGAATAAGTTGCTTACATTTCCAATAAAATTTTTTAGTCGTATTGGACATGTTCTTCTAGATAATATTTTAATTTTGGGGGTGTATTGTGATGGCAAAGTATCTAGAAAAAAAGCTTACATTAGTAAATTAATTCTCCCAGTGGCTTCATGTGAATTAAAAAATATTGTGCTAAAAGTATTTCAGAACATAATTTGCAGCTTATGATGAACATAAATCAATCTCAGTTTGTTTGAGGCTACTGATCTCATCTGATATTGCTCAGTTTGCAAAGTTTTGAAGATTCTTGGTAATTAATTTGGAACAGTCATAAAAACTGGAAATTTGCCTGATTTAATTCTTCGAAACTTTCCTGAGAGTAAGCATCTTTTACTGAGAATATTAAGTAAGGTCAAAATACATTGCTAATTTGCGAATGGAATTTTTAATATTAGCCATATTAACTACGAGTTTTGTCGTAACTCCATAAAAAGTTACGACAGTACTAATAATCTATTTTAAAATAGTATTTTTTAATGTATTATAGAATTCAGCTAACTCATTTTAAGAACTTCTAAAGTGTTTTTAAAGAAAATTTGAAAACTTTATGCAGTCATATTTTATCCGATTTAGAACAGACTGTTAGCTTTTTAGTGTATTTTCTTCCCTCCTATTTCATCATTTTCATCAATAAAATGAAAATTATTGAATTTCTTCGTTAATTTGTAATTAGACGATTTGATGAACGGTCAGTGCCACAGTTTTCGGTATGCATTCTGTTCATCAGATTGTTTGTTTATTCGATATGAAGCTCTCGAAATATCAAAAATTGATACTTCATCTCATTTCTTTTTATTTCTAATAATTTGTAGAAATTTGAGTTGTTAAACCACAAATGTGAATATATATGTAAATATAAACATAAGTTTAAACTATAATGTAAGCTATAATGAAAGTTATAGCTTCTGAATTTCACACAGGTATAGTTTAATTGCGCTAGTGGAATTTTTTGGATTTATGATATAAGGTCGAAAATTTTACAGTGAAATAAAATTTTGCTAAAAATGCACTGAAATATCAATCTAAATTTATTTACACATTTTGTTTATTGGCTTGAAAATATAAATATGTAAATTTCACTTGTGATAATATCTCAATTTCCAATATAACATTTTTTTACATGAAATTT